GATTAGTTTAGATATCACTCTTTCATAGAACTATCATTGTATAAATATGTGATTAAGATGTGCAACTGAAATATCTAACTGTGGCAGATGCTGCTCTGTGTGATCTTTTGTAACTGAAGGGTTCTTTTATCATTTGAGCTTTTGGGTTTGTATTTCTCATCTGCTCTTTTCTGCCAGCTTAATGGAGATTTTAAATCAAAACCTAATTAGACTACATATGCTGTTTAGGAAAAAGTTCTTAGGAAAGTAATGATTCATATAGGCTTTGATATTTCCAGATAACATCTAAGAAGAAATGTGACTTTAATTGTTTTAAATAACTTCCAATCACCCCCTTATTCAAGTAAAAGTAGTTGAGCACAGTTCTGTGATCAAAAGTTTCTTGAGTAAGAGAAATACCAACTCTATACTTCTATCAACTATATCGTCTGCACTTAGTGATGAAAGCCTTTATTGACACACATTTTTCAACCAAGTAGTATTATACATCAGGTATTCTATGACATATTTTTGATACCAATACCAAAATCCTCAAATCAGAAGTTATCAAATTATATTTAATTCCTGAAAACCACAAAACTGTGTGTACATGATGACCACCTAGAATGTCAGCCAAAGTTCCCTTTTTAGTAATGTTGATATAAGAATAGTTGGTATCTTTTTATTTTTTCTCTTTGATATTCTAGGAAGGAAAATTAATTATTTTAATGTTATTTTAAATGTAAGCATTTAATTGAATTATACATTTCAATATTTTAAGTAGTGATAAGAAAGGCCACATTTTAAACACTCTCAACTTGCACTAGGTTAAGGAAATCTGTGTCAAAAATGATGACTGATATCTTGTTCAAACACTAATAAACACATTTGTCAGGAAAACCCTGGCCTCTGACACTTAATCACAAAGATGTAAGCTCCACCTTTAAAAAAATAGAAAAGGAAAATATTAAAAATCTTTACATTTTTATGTCCTACTTAGGTATTTGACCCAGTTCTTAATCAGAAGTAGCCAGAATTTTCTTCTATTCCACAGAGTGATTGCCGGCTGCCTTAACAATAAAAGCTTGAGCATTTCCCCTGATAGAAGGCTGACAAGTCATAATGAGGAACTGTGTCTTCCAACGTCAGGCCAATGCAGTTTGTGTTAATTATCTGAATACTGTGCTGTGACACGCTGCATATAAAAATTATTTTCTGGAAACTAAGAAATGATATATATTTGCAAGACAAATCCTTTCAAAAATAACCACAAATTTATAACAGGCAATAACAAGATTTCATAAGCATTTTTTAAAAATCTGAATTCAATTTTAAACAGAAAAGCAGAAGTGTAAATCCAGATTTCCAGTTACTCTCCTACTTTAGTGATTCAATAAAGCTACAGAAATTTGTTTCATCATCTAGTTGAATATGTAATAAATTCAAATATTTCTCTTATGTTTACTGTTTAGCCATTACCAATATGTGACTATCAAGACAATACATAAGGGAACAATATATAGAGACATCAGACTTTAAGAAGAGTTTATAAGAAATAAGTTGGAGACAGATTTATAGTGAGGCAACACTTATATCCCAAGCTTCTAAACAACACAAAAAGTCTACTGACATACAAACAATATAAAAGGCATATGCATATTCATTGATACCACGAAAAATAGTTGTTTTCTAAATGTTAAAAATTGTCAGCATTTTCTACAAAATTTTCAAAAACCCCATGCAATTCTATAGAAGTTTGATAGTAAGACCTTAATTACAGGACAGTACACTTAAGAAAAACAAACAAAAAAAACCTGAGTATACTCTTATATTAAAACTGAAACTCACCACATAGAATAGCTAAATATGATCTGTAAGTCAAACAACTCCTGTCTACAAAATTCTGCAATATAAAGCAATCACTTTAAAATATTCTTCAGAGACCAGGAGACTTGTAGTGGAAGACAGAATATTTTGAAAGTATAGTTCATCTTCTTTTGGTTTGAGGTAAAAGAATGAAAACATAAAGTCTGAAGTTTATACTCGTGCATCAAAGGCATTTGTGATATGTTCTATCTGTTATCACCAGAAGTTCTTTCTGGAAAGGCAAAACTTGCTGAGAAACCCACCATAACCTTTACACTTTACTGTGAGAAACCAACTGAGTTGAGGATGGTGTATGGTGTTGGGGTGAGTTGGGGAAGGGGGAAGCAACACCTAATTGCAAGTTTATGCTTGACTGCTATAAAGAGTAAATTTTATTATTGTTTATAATCAGCTATAATTGGTCAGCTGGATGAAAATATCTCTTTTTCTGTGAACAAAGCTGCCCTCCAAGAATGCTAAAGACATCTTAAATATAAATAGACTAGTTAACAAGCCTTTCATTGTATTGAGGCAAGACTTACATACATGGTTATTGAGTAAAGGCAGTATTTTTAGAACTTTGTTTAAAAGAAAAAGCAGGTCACCATATAAACCATGGCACCCACCAAATAATGTGTACCTAAACCACACATATGTCAAGTTATTTTCTATTCTGATGCTTTACCTAAGAATTAGCTAAATAGCCAGCATGCAAAAAAAAAAAAAAAATTACTTACACACACACCAGAAAAATTAAAAAAAAAAAAAAAAAAAAAAAAACCACCAAATTCTGAGTTTTATAAACTAAATATTGCAACAGTCACAAAGTATTCGAGTTTCAAGTTTCACCTCTTCACTCTCCAGGTCAGCCCATGCGCAAGCACATGAATGCACGCGTCAGACCGCTGGACGTGCCATCCACTTGGCTCTCGCAAGTATCCACACGAATCAAAAGGCTCCAGAGGGACCCAGAAACACCAAACCAGGGCACGGGGGCAGAGAGAGGCACCTCCTCCGCCTGACCTCGGGCTGTGCGTGCGCTGCCTTGCAGAACCTTGGACAGCGGCCCCCTGGCCCTCCTCGCAGCGCAGCCCAACCCAGCCCAGCCCAGCCCAGCCCCGTGCTCACCCCACCGCGCTCCCCACCCGCACTGGATGGGCACCTGCACTGCCCACCAGATTCCCTGGAGAAACGGAAAACAGACTACGTTGCACCCATGGTCTGTTTTGTTTTTTTTTTTTCTTTCCCCTTCTGAAATATATTTCATTTTTAACACAGATTGGTTGGCCAAATTCTCAAAACATAAAGCAATATCATGTGGCATTCAGAACCGCAGAAATGCAGGTCACTGGCTTTTGTCTAGTTCATTAAAGTTTCACACAATCATTTTTAATGTCAACAACCTTTTCTCTATCATTAAAAAAGTATTTCTCCTCGTTGGGTATGTGAAGGGAAAATCGCTAAACAGCATAAATTTGCTGTTGTGTTCATTTCCAAAACCTTTTACACCCTGATATTCCGTAGAGCAACTGAGGACTTTGTGGCAAAGTCAAACTAAACTGTGATACAAAAAATCACTTAGGAATGAAAATGCTGATCATTTGGCATCATGGAATAGTAGGTCAATTTCTAATTATAGAGCTACCAAAATGACAGAGATTTCCTTACAGCAACAGAGATCTATTTACATTGGATACCCTTTTTTACTCATCCAATTCACTCTGGAAATAAAATATGTTTACATTATCAGTAACTGAGTACATAGCATATATGCAATGAGTGTGTACACACACAGTTCGCAGTCTAAAAACAGTTGAGTCAACACTTCTGGTGATTCTACCTTACTTTTGTCAGGTTTAGAGAAAAAATAAATACAGCAACTTTCCTACCTTTTTCCAATTACATAGCAGGTTGTTTCAGCTTCTGGAGGGACTCTGGATCCATTTTTGTGACAAATATATGCCCAAATTATACTAAGTGATTGGTGAATGGGACTGTTTAGGCATAGGCTGTTACCATTAAATGATTTCAGAAGGCCCTGCTGAAGTTACAGAGCACAGAGGTACTGCCAGGCCTCCTATTTAGAGCAGTGATTCACGTGCATGGTTGTATTCCACAGCTAAAGCAGAATTTGGTTCAGACTGGTTAGTGCTACAGTAGCTGAGATAATCTAGTTCAGGGCAGAGATATTCACCTCCTACCAAGTACTCAAAAAGGAAGAAAAGCATGCAGTTAGCTATTTTAGGCTCTGAGGACAACTCTTTTCTTCTGCCCTGTCTTGAGAGATAGGCCAACTAATCTTGTGCAAAACTACAGAGCAGGCAACATGTACAAGAGCCAAAGTGGGACCCTCTGCCTTCTAGCAAAGGAAAAGAAAAGCCTCTGGATCTCTCTGAGCCGTCACCAGTGGCACCAAGGGAAACAGCCGCGGCTTATCAAAACGCTGTCACCATCACTTCCCAACCAAGGGCCACTGCGGTGCCCGCCAACACACACTCTCGTGCTCCTGCTTTCCCCAGCTCCGCAGAGTTTGGCAGAGCGCCTGCAAACACTGTCCCGCTCCCAAGGAGGCCCGGCGCCGCACCGCTCTGCCACCGTCCAGCATCGCCAGCCCCGGGCCAAGCGCCCGGCGGAACCTACCGGAGCCCCGGGGCGCGCCCCCGGCCCGCGGCGGGAGAGCCGCCCGTGCGCGGGCACCGCGGCCGCCGCACACCCGGGGCCGGCGGCCAGGGCAGCGCCGTCGGGCAGCCCCGACCGCGGGGGCCGCTCCGAGTCCCGCTCATTGTCATGCAGACCCTGTCGCTGCCTGCCGCCAAGTCGCATCCCAGCTCGCTGGAAGCCGGCAGCCGAGCCGGAGCCAATCGCATATTCATGAGGAGGGGGAAATCCAGCGCTACGCTCCCAGAGGACCGAGGATCACTTCTTTTTGCGTTTTCTCAAGCTTCCCCCTCTCTCTTCCTCTGTTTTAACAACGCGCTAAGGGGGGCATCCCGGCCGATGCCCTCCGCAGCATCGCCCGCACCGTGAGCACCGTGACCGCCGGCGCCAGGGGCACAGAGCGGAGCAGGCACAACAGGGTCCACGGCAGCCACAACAGCCGAGGGAGGCACGCCAGCCCGACAGCCAGGGACAGGAAACACAGCAGGGGCTCCTACCTTACAATCCTCAGGACACGATTTCACCGAGTACTCATCCGACTGTAAATATTTCTGGAGCATAACCTCAAACTCTTCGTATTTCTCCTGAGCGTGCTGGTCGTAGCGCTGGTAAGCCTGGACGCACTGGCTGCAGGAGCCTTCCCCCTTCAGCACCACATCCAGACTGCAGTTCAAAGTGTCCGGATTGGACAACCCGGCGAACAACTCCCAAAGTGTGTAGGAATTACAAAAGGAAAGGTAAAAATCCGTCAGGTCCCAGCCGGGCGCCGGGCTCTGCCCCGTGCCCCGCGGCCGCCCCGACCCCCCTCGCCGCTGGCACACCGCCTCCGCGTCGCCCACGCTGAAGCACTGCCCGGACGAGGAGCCCGGGGGGGGGCACGTCTCCGGGGGCCTGGCGGTGGAGTTTCCCAGGAAAGCAGCCTTGCCGTGCCGGGGCTCGGTGCCGTTGGTGCGGCCGCCGCGGCCGCCGCCGCCGCTGCTGCCGGGGGAGGGCGGGAGGGAGGGCGAGGGGGGGGCGAGGAGCCGGGGCGCGGGGGGCGCCGGCTCCCCCATGCCCGCCAGCAGCTCCGGCTCCGCGGGCTCCGGCTTCTCGGGCGGCGGCTGCTCCTTCTCTCCGGTCCCCGTGAATTTGGCCTCGGCGCAGAACCACAAGTGATCAGAGAGCAGGACCGTGAAAAACAAGAGCGATGCCAGGGACAGTCGCCATTTCTGAGCCCTCTCCGAATCCGTGAAGGGTTTCTCGTTCTCCCGGGGTGCGAACCAGATTTTTAAGCCGTCATCATGCTGCCGACTACACATCCAAGCACCCCTGGTCATATTTTGGGAACGCACAGCCCTGGCCGACTCCACCGTGAGGGCTCCTTTGCCAGTGTCACCACAATATGCATTGACTTAAAAGATTGGGGGGATTTTCTTGCCTGCCTTCCCTTCTCTCGCTCGCTTGCTCTCCCTCTCTCTCTCTTCCACTCTCCCCCTTCTCTCTTTCTTCCTCTTTTTTTTCTTTCTTTCTCTTTTTCTTTCTTTCTTTCTTCTTTCTTCTTTTTCTTCCTCCGAGATATTGTTGGTTTTCGCCGGTGGCTCTGCCTTGGTCTCACAACACGAAACAGCCCCAGTGCATCCAACGCGGAGTGCCGTGGAGAAGATAAGAGCAATAACGCAGAGAGAGGAGGAGGAGGAGGGAGAGGAGATGGTGGTGGTGGTGGCGGTGGTGATGGTGGTGGTGGTGGTGATAGTTGGTGGTGGCGGGGCTGCGCGACTGGTCCTTTCCCCCTCTCACCCAGGCATGGTCAGATCGCAGCTCCCCATCTCCCTCCTGAGAAAAGCCCACTGCGCCCGGACAACCGCATGCCGCGTCCCCCGCTGCCGACGGACGGCTACGGGAGGGCTCCTCGCCTCCTCTTCCTCCCTGCCGCCGCTGCTCCTCTCGCTCAGCCCCGAGCCGCGGCACAGATGCCTGCACCGCTGTCTCAGTCTCTTCTCTCCCCGCTCCGCTCTAACTGGAGAGACGCTGCTGCAGGGCTCCCGGAGCGCTGCCGAGGATGCTGAAGAGGAGGAGGAGGAAGAGGAAGAGGAGGAGGAGGCTGCCGGGGCCGCCGCCGCTGCTGGTGACAATGGGCTGCGGCTGCCGCCGCTGCTGCCGCCGGGCGCGGTGTCCCCGGGCGCACGGGGCGGAACTGCCTGGCTGGGGGCCCCCGATGGGCACAGGCATCTTGGGCCCCTGGGCTAAGTTGCCGCCATCTTCGTCCTGGAGAAACACTTTTTTGGGGGGAGCTCTGCCTTTTGCGTCATCTCCTCCCGCGCCGAGATCGCTCTATCCTGGCGCATTGGCAGCAGCAGCAACTCTGCCTCCTCCTGCCTGAGGAGGAGGAGGTGGGTGATGCACTGGGGACCACATGGACCCTCCAAAGGGCTTCCTCGATGCAACTCTTTCTACTCATCTCACCGAGGGGACTGCTCAGTAGTACTGTCCAGCCCTCTCTCCTTCAGGGTCTCCTTCCCTTTGTGGCCGTGGAACACCATGTCCACGCAGGATGGTGGCTGGAGAGGTCTGTTTCCGTGTCTGTCCTTGTCATAGCAAATCACAAATGGCACATGACACTACAGGCTCTGCATCCTGGCCAATTTTGGCCACACAGTAAAATGTCTGAACACAGTTGCCTGTCTCTCAGTCAGAGAGCTGTAAAGCAAAATGACCATAAATTCCAAGCTGTTTCACCAGAAGTTTTGCAAAACCCTGGTTCTGCCCATGGACTGGGTAAATATGGCCTGTCTGTGTTCCCCTGCTTAGATAGCACTGCTTAGAGAGAAAGACAGAGGGGCCAGGCTGAATCCTCCTTCTAGGATGATGAAATCACCTGGGGTGATGATCTCCACTTGGACCCAGGACAGAGATCCAAATACCGTCTGTCCTCCAACCGTGGAGGTCTCTTGCTCAAATAAACATTCTCTTTGGGCACTCCAAAGTGTCTCTCACTCCTTTCTTCTGGCTCACTTATGCACCTTAATGTAACAGCAACAGAACAACTTGGATCCCACACATAAGATAAGAGCAGGTGCCAACTAGAGGTTGGGCACTAACAGGTGAAGACCTAGTGTTCACCTCAAGACATCAGGTATGCTGTCTGGCCACAGGATAGCATACCAAGATGTGTATTTTAATTTCTCCATTGGACTGGCAGAAGGTTTGGAAACCATATTTTTCCTTGCTCCAGAGGCTTTCTCTATCCTGAGGTACTGAAAATTGCCCTTGGAAAAGGTGTGCAGTATATTGCAAAAGGTGGCTTTGCTCCATTTTTTGGTTAAAGAAAGCCTTTTTTCTTACCAAACATGGTCTGTAAACTAGTACAGGTTGTTGATGGTTCTTGAGTTCAACTTTAAAAAGTGTAGTGAGAAAAGACCTAAACCATATCAGAAGAGAACAAAGCTTGTACCTTATCTGACTGCAGCTGTCATTACCAGAAGGGTGATCTTACCAAGGAATATGCTGGAATTTTTGTCACTTTGAGCAATAAATCAAGGCTGGATGTTTTTCTAAAGGAGATCCTAAACCTCAAACAGAAGATGCAGACCTGAGGTAGGAATTGCTGAGGGAGGTTCTAGGCCCTGTGTTGTGCTGAGGTTCAAGGCACATTTTCATAATGGTCTCATCTGGCCTTACAGGATCTATGAGTCAAATACTACACCAAGCAGAAGTTTTCTATGGATTTTATTTTGATAGGGCAGAAATAATTATTTTGATAACACAGAAATAAGTGTTAATATTGTAAGGAAAGGTCTACAGTACTCAAAGCAGAATGTATCTTTGCAATTTTCAGTCAATCAGCTCACACTGTCTACAAATGGTACATTATTAATTTTGGTCTTGGAACTTTAATTGAAATTATTTGACATACTGTCTTTTGTACTGAATTTGCCTTTTTGTAATCTTTCTGTTTTGGGACAAGAGTGTGACCAAGCTTTTTAAAAGCATTCAGGACAATTTTACTACTCTAAAATGTAACATCATTTATTTAATTTCCTTTTGCTAGTTCGATTATGTATTTCTTGCTAGAATAAAGTGACTAGAAGCAGGAGCACAGGGGAAAAAAAAGAAAAGAAAACCCAAACGAAACCAAAAATAACTGGGAAAAGCAACAAATTCCTGACATCAGGTCTGAGATTTCAAAAATGTGCTCTTCTAAGATATGTGGCAGTGACTGTGTAATTATTCTGTATTTGACAGACAAACTTGAGGTGAAGAAAGTCAGCTTTGGAGTCCACGCCCAGCAAAGAGGCTTAATTTATGTTTGGTGTTTTTTTTAATGTTTTGTCCTGTTGGGAAAATGAGAGGATAATCGGCAATTTTGCAGTCCACAATGAAATTATAAAAGTTCTTTATCTCCATTGCGGAACTTCAAGAATTGGTAATGAAAATGTGCTGGTATTCAGATGTCCTTTGAAACTTAGTGTAAAAATGAATTCTTAAGTCTTTGCTCCTCTGTTTACACTTGTCTGAGATCAAAGCAAATATACTCAAACTCAGTACACTAGGATGGTTTAGATATACTTGGCTCCTCAAAAAAAATCCATTTTCATGTCATTTAATATTTTCACACATTTCCCAACTTTTTTCTGGAAAAAAAATAGAGTGAGAGTTCTTTTTCAACACCTAGAAATAAACTATAACAAGACATTTGGTATTTTCAAAATGAGCATGTCCTTGCTTTCCCAGTGACACTTTTCTGTAACAGAGAACACATCACGCAGAACTGTTGTTTTGCTCTTGCATTTCACCCAAAGCCCCATTCACTCTCCACCTAGCACAGTGAATAACTTGCAACTTAGTTTCAGTAGCTGGTTCTTGATGGATCTGAACAAATGCAGTTCAGTTCTCTGGTGCCCCTTAGTGTTAGGTCTTGGAGCTCAAGGGAAAAAACAAGGCTATAAAATGATATCTGAAAATCAAGAAACTACATGCAGTGAGGGAAAGAATCTGAATTATACACTGTAGATGCTTTCTCTAAAAGTTCCTTCAAAATTTTTTTACCACAAATCGGATCTAAGTAACAGAATTTTGTTTGGAATAGTTTAATGAATTATATGAACGGGAAGATATCAAAAATATCGCTACAGAAGTATGTCCCCATATTCATCATTCTTCCTAAATAACTCTAGTGGTGCAAAATACTTCACTTTGGAATTACATATCTTACTGGGATTATTTATTACTCGTGTTTCAAAGCTTGGCAAGTGTGAGGAACTCATGGAATCCTGTCTCCCGAGCTGGTGGAATCACCAGATGTTTCACAGATGGATCTCCTTAAAGTAATGTGGTTCAGTGTCATCTCTGCCACACTGTGCTTTAATCAATACAATCAGAGCTGATGTTCTTTCATTCTTTGACTGATAATATGTAAGGCAACTGATTTATTGAGCACTAAAGAAACTCCAACAGGATAAGCATGCCCTAATTCCAGATACTTGGAGCTGTTTTTTTTACCTACATACCTTGTGTTTTCTTTGTGAAAATACTTTAGCTTAACAAGCAGAAATATTTATCGATGTAACACATTAAATGGCAATAAACACTTTTCAGAGTAGAAGGCTTTGCTGTTTCAAAGTAAATGTTCTTATAGTTTTGCCTAATAACAGGCAAACAGTGATTTCCTGCATAATTCTCTTGCTTTACTTTGTTGATTACAAAATTGTAACATCAGAAGAGCAGTATATAGGTCTTTCAGATGATTTTAACAGATTTGAGAGACATGTCTTGTCTTTGAAATGTATATTCTTTATAAAAGAAAAAAACTTATTTCATAATTGCTAGGGAGCATTTCTTTTTGTAAAAGGCAGATTATGTTCAATAGACCAGATTTCATTTTATTTTTGGGTTAATTGGTTCTACTGATAGGACCAATTGTTGCAAAAGTTATTTACAGAAATACTCATTTACACCTTTGCACTGGAGGCTCATGCACCACTTTTAAATACCAAGCAAACATAATCAAGCCCTTTACTAGTACCTCTTAGTGATTTTTTAACAATTTAAACTATTTGTCTTCAACAGAAATATCTATACATTCGTTGTAGGCAAAATATGTCATTTATGTGGTTTAACATCCTCAGAGTTGTTTAGTTTTTGGTTTATTTCAACACCTTACAACAAATTTTGGGTATTATATTACCTGGGAAGTGGATCAGAGATTTAATTATCTCAATCCATTTGATAAGAAGAATATCCATGATGGTCGTAAGATACAAAGAAGTTAAGAATACTGAAGAACTATTTTTTTTTTCTCATCACATTCCTAATGTCTTAGTTTCCTATTCAGTATTTT